CTTCACAGCTTATAGAGCAAGGTGCCATTTTAAAGACTAAGGCATGCCTGACCCAAGCCATAGTCATTTTGACTGTGTATGTGTATGTGGAAGTCTAATAAGGAAGACTGAAAAAGAGTTAATGTTTTTAAATTGTGGTGTTGATGTAGAACACTGAATATATCATGGACTGACAAAAGAACAAACAAATTTTAGCTGGTAGAAGTTCAGCTAGAATGTTCCTCTGAAGCAGAGAAGGTAAGACTTTGTCTCAAATGCATTGGATCAAATGTGTTGTCTAGGAAGGGCAAGTCCCTGGAGAATTCTAGACATTGTTTTAGCCTGAGTTCTCTATAGAGAAGTAAAGCCAATAAAGATAAAGAGAGAGAAATACATCAAAAAAGAAATGACTCACTTGCTTTTAGAGACTGGTAAGTCCAGGTCTGTGGCACAAAGTGGTGAAGACTGATGAATCTAAGGTTGTAGGATAAGGCAGACCATTGGTCCAAGGAACCAAAGAGGTGAGTAGCCAGATGTGCAAGACGGAAACTGAACAAAGAGCCAGCCAGCTCCACTGGGCTTCCTTAGGTTATTTCCCTACATGTACTTCCTTACATGCATGCCACATCCTCACTGAAACTCCTCCTAAACCAAATGCTGCTCATAGCAAATCTCAGCAGAGGAAGGATTATTGCATTACTTCAGACCTCACCAAGGAAATGGCCATTTTACAAATGTCAAATCAGAGAAAAATAGGCAGCCAGTTTGACTCACTTGACTTAACCAACCCAGTCAACCACTTGTCAACTAACATGCTGACGACTGGAAATAAACTTCTTGCTGCTGTTGTTAGATGTCATCGAGTTGATCACAATTCATAACAACCCTATGAACGTTGCCCTATTGTGTGCCGTCTTCACCACCTCTGGTAGACACAAGCTCATTGTTACAGCATTGTGTCAATCTATCTTGTTGGAGGGCTTCCTCTCTTTTTCTGACCCTCCACCTCTCCCAACATGAGGTCTTCTTCCAAGGACTTGCCTCTCTTGACAACAGGCCCAGAGTCTATGAGGAAAAGTTTCACTAGCCTTACCTCTACAAAGCATCCTGGTTGCCCTTCCTCCAAGTCAGACATAATTGTTTTTTTGCCGGTCCATGAGATATTCAATATTCTTCCCCACCACCACAATTCAAAGGCATTGATTCTTCTTCTGTCATCCTTACTCATTGTAAAACTTACAAATGAATAACACGTAATTAATGGAAAAGACCATGACTTGCACCAGATACACCTTAGTCTTTAAACTGACATCATTGCTCTTTAGCACTTTGGAGAGGTCCTTGATGGCAAATTTCTCCAAAGTAACATGTCTTTTGATTTCTTGATTTGCAATAGGTAACTCAACTACCATGGATGTTGTGAATTCAATTAAAATGAAATTTTTGACACCTTCGATCTTTTCTCCAGCCATCATGATGTTGTCTAAGGCCCAATGGTGAGGATTTTTGTTTCCGTGATGATGTTAAGTAATCCATTTTTAAGACTATAGTCTTTGATCTTCTGCAGCAAGGGCTTCAAGTCCTCTTCACTTAAAGCAGTTAAGATTGTGCTATCTGCATAATGCAGGTTGTTGATGAGTCCTCCTCCAATCTGATGCCTTATTTGAATCCTCATAGTTTCAAACTAATTACTCAGTATAGAGATTGAATAGGTCTGGGGAAAGAGTAAAACCCTGATGCACACCTTTCTTGATTTTAAACCATATGTTTAAACCCTTGTTTAGACAATAGCTTCTTGGTCTATGCATAGGTTTGCAGAGAATGATTTAATGTTCTGGGATTACTATTCTTCTCAGAGCTATCTATAATTTATGATCCATACAGTCAAATGCACAGTCGATTAAACACAAGTAAACCTTCTTGTATTCCCTGCTTTCAGCCAAGATTCATGTGACATCAGCAATGATATTCCTCATACCACAGTTTCTTCTGAATCCAGCTTGAATTTCTGGAAGTTCCCTATTGAACCAAATAGAGGCAATGAGTGAGTGTCTGATCTTACTATAGATCAATACGGAGACATCAGTGAGTCTTCTCTACATCCCATTGAGAAGTGTGGTTCTTGGCAGTTACCAATTTCCAGAACACCAGAGTAGGGAGTTTGTTTAACCATAACTCTTTTCTAGGATCAGAGGATTCAGAAAAAATTAAGCATTGTCCAAACCCTGCTCTGTGCAAATATATTTGGAAATTAAAGAATTAAGTTTGAACCAGGAGGCAAGACACAGAAAGATCTGGAAAAGTAGTAGAAATGCTTGGAGGAAGTGTTCCTTGAAGAATGAAGCTCCTTGCCTGGGGAGGGGAAACCCACCGAAAGATAGTTAATCTATGACAGATTACACTACACAGTGAAACACTGCTCTGAAGTAAATCTCCTCACTCCATAAAAATGACATTTTATGGCTCATCTTGGTAATTTTTCACCCACTTAGATTGTGCCTGACAGAGAAAGTTGACATTGTTAAATAGTATCAAATCGGCTGAGAGCCTCTACTTGCCAAGAAAAATCATTGACTGCTTTCATACAGATAAAACCAGGCTGAATGTTTATAACACAGACTGAGAGGGGGTGAGGGTTTACTATTGTTTGGAGTCACAGAAATTAATGCGGTTTCCTGGGAAACCAAGCACTACCAAATATCTAGCTCTTTCCCCATAACTGACTTAAACAAGAGTGTGGTGCTTCATCATGTCCTGAACATGCTTTTACCAAACACTGCCAAAGCTAGAAGTCCATTAGTGATGATTTCTCATTTTTCAGATTTGAGTAGCAATGGGAATAAACTGCTCGGTTCAGGTCTGTAACTGACTACCTTTGCATGGGATCAGATGTGAGAGCTTTTTCCTCAGCAGCCATTCGGAGAGGACAACCTCTATCATTTCAGTCTCCCTTAGCTGGAGTTTCTCATATTATTTGGAATCTACAAATTAGGTTTGACAAGTTGCTAAATCTGGCAGTCTAAAACCAAAGCTCTTTTCTTTTTTAATCCCATTTTTGAAGGTTAGGTCTACTTGGCAATATGATCTAATAGAAAACATTTGAAAAGCAAGATCTTCTTACCCTGAAGTCTCACTTGGGCTCTTGATAACTGGCTAAACTCTGGCTAGTTCTCTTAAAGTTTCAGCTTCTGAAGCTACAGAAGATACAATAATGGCCACCTCCCAGGGTATTTAGGATCAAAAGGGGTCCCATTGAGTGAAACGTGCATGTGGGTTACTGCCTTTTAGCCTACCTTCTAGAATGTGCTCGAGTCTCAGAATCTTAACTATCATGAACAATAGATTCCTACAGCAACACAAGGTGATTCTGATTCATAATGATCCTATTTGACAGAGTAAAACTACCCCATATATGATTTCCATAGACACATTTTAGCAACTGCCATGACTTTCTCCCATGGATCGATTGCTGCATTTGAACTCCTGACTTTTCCATTAGCATTTGAGCTAACACAGTGTGCCATCAGGGCTCCTTGAATAGGAGTGGGGATATCCCAGTCTCAAACTCACATCTGTTACAATGCATTACCCGTCAGCAACATGAGTCCTTTCTCTGCCATATGACTATGCACTTTCAACATTTATCAAAGGATGGAGCATTTTCTTGACACTCAGCAGACTTCAATCACCCTAAGACAGTGAGTCCCAAACTTTTCTATATATTGGAGTTATATGGAAAACTTGAACAGTCAAAAACATAAAAATTCAGACATCTGAGGTGAGGTCTAGGTATCTGTATCTTTCAAAATTCCTCAAATTCTGTAGTCACGTGAGGTCGCCTTTCAATTTTTTTATTCTAAAGTATATCCAACTTTGAAATGGAGTTAGAACTCAGGACACCAAATCACAAGCCTTGATTGTTCTCTTCCTCCAGCCAACCTGGTGGGTCTCACATCAATTCATGCATACTACAGAAAGAGTAAACTAGCAGGAAGCAGAGGGAACCCTGGGGTAGGGAGGTGAGCCTGCTGCCTGGGAGAGTGAAGAAGAATGGCTCTTGGCCAAGTGCATGGTGATGTCACTAGCCCTAGAATCAAAGCCATCTCCATCCACTCCTTTGTCAGGGTAGAACTGTGTTCAGGAGCATTGCCAATGGCTGATTTTTCAGAGGTAGATCATCAGCTGTTTCTCACAAGATGCTTCCAAACTAATTCAAATTGTCAACTCCATAAGCAATTGCCCCATTACAAACTTTCAGAGAATTCAAAGGGATAATATAAAAAGATATTTCAAGAGCAAATAAGTTTGGGGATTCTAGAAAAACCAAGCTTCTTACTCTAGGACTTCTCAGATCCTTTACATTTGAAGGATTATTAGGTCTAGAAAGGAGCTGGAACAGAATTACCATTTAACTAGGGAAACTTTTGTTTTTCCTCATTTCAGGGACTAGTTCAGGGGATAAGCCATTTTGAGCAGTGGGGTTGGGAAGATATTCTGGATCCCAGGGTTTGGCAATGCCAATACCTGATGGCATTTTGAATGTCACAGCTGGCACTAGGGTGGCTGTTACTGCCATCGAGTGAGTAAAGGCATAGGGTGCTCCTAAATACCCCACTATACCCAGGGCAGCCCCCTAGCAAACTCCAAATGGCAATAGCTGTCATTGATGAAAGACTAGCCTCTAGAGTGGCATCTCTCAAAGACCCAAAGCCTCAGAAAGGCAAAATGTTGCAGGGGAGGGGAAATCAGAGACAATGAAATAAAGCAAGAGGCTGGGCCTTGGGAATAATCCCTTCCCCTTCCCCCACCCCCCCAAAAAAGCCAAAAGCAAGTGTGAGAAAAAACAAACCACTCTGGTGTTGACCGGCCCCAGCCTTCTCACGCCTTTATTACTTCTCTACGATAAGAGAGGCCTTTAAGTCTGCTCTTCCTCAGGCATGATCTTGTGGGGAAGGCAGGCCACGCCCTTCCTGGAGAGGCGCGTGTCCCAGACTCATCGCCTCTGCGCCCCCCAAAGGGCTTCAGACCCTGCTGGGCTTCTTGGGCTCCCTGTTCTTGGGCGGCATGAAGGCGTACAGCTCCTCAATGAGCATCTCCATGCGCGCGGTGACCTCGGTGACCGTGTCGATGACCAGCTTCTGCTGCAGCTTGAGCTTGTTGTTCTCCCACAGGGCCTTGTTCTCCTCCTGGAAGGCGCGGTGCTCCACGCGCAGGGCGTGCAGCGCGCGGTTCTCCTCCTGTAGCAGCCGGTTCTCCTCGCGCAGCGCCTGCAGGCTCCGGTTCTCCTCGCGCAGGGCCTGCAGCGCCTGGTTCATCTCACGCAGCAGCTGCAGGAACTGGCCGCCGTCCTGCAGGCCCGGGGCGCCCTTGCCCTCCTCTTCGCCAGGGGCGACCCCCAGGTTGCTGACCATTTCGCGCAGAGCGTGCAGGGTCTTGGAACTGTCCTGCGGACTCACGTGCCCCTTGGGCTCCTCGAAGGGCGAGGCGAGGCCAGCAGCCTGGTCGGGCAGCAGGCCGGGGCTGGGGGGCTCCTCACGCGGGGAGGCGGCCTGCTGGGGCTCCTCGGTGGTGGCCGCCTTGTCCTCGGGCTGGGTCCAGTAGGCCTTTCTCTGCTCCAGCAGCTGCTGCAGGGCCCGGTTCTCCTCCCGGAGCAGCTGCAGGGTGCTGCTCTCCTTGCTGCCGCGGTGGCCCTGCAGGTCTGCGTTGTCCTTCTTGGCCACCTCCGTGGCCACGTTCTCCTTGAGCAGCAGCGGGGAGGTCCTGCTGTCCTCGCGGCCCTGCGTGGCCGTCTGCTCCTCCCAGAAGCCCTGCAGTATCCTGTTCTCCTTGCGCAGGGTCTTGTTCTCCTCCCGCAGCGCCTTGTTTTCCTCGCGCAGCGACCTGTTCTCCTCCTGGAGCATGCACTCCTTGGCCAGCCTCTTGTGGTGCAGCTTGTGGTGGAAGGAGGTGGAGGGCGAGAAATAGGGTGACTGCAGGCGGTAGTTCTCGTTCACCCACCGCCCGTCCTGGAAGACGAACATCTCGTCGCTGAGCTGCACGCGGGGAGGATTGTAGTCCAGCTCCAGGTCGGCCTGGGACGTGGGGCGCTCCATAGCCTCCAGGGGCACCGAGGAGAAACGGTTCAGCGGGTACGAGTGTTGGCTGACCACCCTACGGCCGATCCTGGGAAGGTTGGCTTGCCGGACGCACCTCGGGGTGGTGTTCAGGTTGTAGAGCCTGAGGAACGGCTCCGTTGACCCCGTCTGTGGGAGAGAAGAAAGAGGAAGCTAGCGTTAGAGAAGGAACCGACTGGCCCAGGGCCGGCCCAGGCCAAGACACTTCCAGAAAGCCAACCGGGAAATGCACCCTGGAAAAGAGGCAACAATGACAGCAGTATATTTAAAGAAATGTAAGGAAATGGCTGCTAACTGAAAGACTGGAGATTGGAATCTACTCAAAAGTACCTTGGAAGAAAGGCCTGGCGATCTGCTTGTGAAAGCTCACACAGCCATTGAAAACCCTGTGGAGCACAGTTTTACTGAGACACAGGTTGATCACTTCAGTGAGTCAGTTATACGGCAACTCAGTTGCTCTTGACCTGGCAACAGTGTGCACTTTGCACTAGCAAGGAAGAGGGTAGCACACTTCCAAAAACACTAAAGGCAATCAAGTGGAAAATTTGAGTTCCAGCACCATCACTTAGCAGTTTTAAGACCTTTACCAAACCGCTTGCAGTTGTGTTGACACTGACTCCTGGTGACCCCATGTGCGTCAGTGTAGAATCACAGGGTCTTCAGTGACTGAGTTTCCAGAAGTAGATCATTGCCCTTTCTGCCAGGGCATCTCCTCATGAGCTAGAACCTGTATTTCTTGGTTAGCAGACAAGGCATTCACCATTGATGAACCCAGGGACTCAAGGGCTAGCACAGCAGTAAAGCGCTGGAGGGCCTATCTTGGCTTTGCCAAGGTTTCAAACCTGGGAAATGAAGCTAAGTTTCTCTGTCTCAGTTTTCCAATTTCTAGAATGGAATGATGGTCCATAACTAATAGCTTTGCTCTAAGAATTAAATGAGATAACACACTTAGCATGTTTAACGTGGAGCCTGTCTTCCAGAAAGTGCTACATAAAATGTTGTTGCTGTTGTTCTGGGCTGTCAGGTATGAACCAACCCATAACTGACCCTCCTATAGATTTTCAGAGGCTGGAAATCACATGGGAGACAATTGCTCTTCTTTTTTGGGAGGAAGTTTCTGGTGGATTCAAATCAGATGTTGTTGAATGGCAGCATAACTCCTTACTGTTGTTTGTGGTGTTCTGTTGAGTAGGAACCACCCCAAAGCTGACCCTCTGCTGGGTTTTGTGAGAGAGTTAATCACATGGGAGAAGATTGCCCATCCTCCTCCCACAGAGTAGCTGATGAATTCAAACCACTTGCTCCTGGGATTGCAGTGCAGCTTTTTGCCACTAGAACACCAGAGCTGGGCCAAAATACCCTCTGCCCAGTGGTGTGATAGATGAAGAAATAGAGTCCAAGAAGTCCCAGGAAGTGGATCAACTTGTAGACTCCAGAGTCTCCCCTTGGAGGCCGAGGCAAGGAGGGAACCTGGGTTGTTTAACTACCAAGCCCCCTGGTTCAGAAGATGCAACTCTGGGTTTCTGCTGATGGTTTTACACATTAGGATAGCCAGGAAAACGCCCAAGAGTGTAGGTGACAAATTCACCACAGTGGCCATGTTGAACTTCGAGACACCAATAGGAAAGGTGGTCTATCCACCGAACTCCCCCATCCTGCCTTCGGCTCTCACACTCGCCTGGACAGAGTTGTGGGATGGGGTAGAGGAGGCATGCTCATTTTCTGAGCACACATTTGCATTCTGGTTCCTTCAATGTGGAGTGTAACTTCAGAATCTGTGCTAATAGCTCCCTCGGATGATTCTGCTGTGGATGTCATGGCTCTCTTGAGTCAGGTATAAGGGACAGCTTGTCCAGGTAAGGGACATTTCAGTGCATGTTGTTGCTGTTGTTGTTGATTGCCATCGAGTCGATCATGGCTCATAGCAACCCATGAACAAAAGACCTGAAGTCTTTTAATAACTATTGTTATTTCTCCAAGTTGATAGAGTCTCCATAGGCATGTGGTTTAGGAAGTGGATGTCACTCCTGCTTCCAAACCTGTCTTAAACTGGGTAATTGAAAGTTGTTGTTGTTATTGTTGTTAAGTACCATCAGATCAAGTATGACTCATAGTGACGCTATGAACAAAATATAATAATGCCTGGGTATAAAATAGAGAAATGCAGACTGGAACCACCAGTTCTGGATCATCCATCTGCTTCTACCATCAATGTCCACAGTGACAAATGAAGAGCTCTATCACTCTCTCTGAAACCTGGATATTTCAGTAGTGAAAAAGAGAAAGGTCCTGGGTGGTGCAGATAATTGAGGACTTGGCTACTAGTTCGGGTGGTCTAGTAGGTAAGGAGTTATACTGCCAACTCAAAGGCACTCGGTTCTCCTCCTGTAAGACTTACAACCTCTGCCAACCCACAGGAAGGGCAGCTATGAGTCAGTCCCAACTCAACAGTGCATAAAAACAACCACTAGCTGTGATGAGAACCCACCTGGAAGTACATCCAAAGAAAGGAGAGGCCATCTGAATCCCAGAGTTTACAGCCTAGAAAACCCCAAGCTCCACTCTATATGTGGGATTGCCAAGAGTCTAAATGAACTGAAGGCAAGTAACAACCACAAGGGAATTAAGACACCCTGGTCTCAAAGTCACTCTCCAACAGTAAGCATCAATGATGTGTGCCTGTGAAGGGAATAGGACCCATGCCCTGCTTAACTCATAGCACTAATGTGAAGATTGAACAGCGGAAGGAAGGCAAACATGGTTTTGCCACTAAAACAAAATATTTCTATTTCTAAAGCTGCCAGGTGCTGTAGAAATATGAGATACTGGCGAGCTCTGGTGACCTAGTGGTAGGAGGCTGCGCTGCAGTCCCGCAGGTGTGTGGTTCAAATCCACCAGATGCTCTGCTTGAGAGGGAGGAACAGGCTTCTCCTGTACCAATCAAATCTGATTTGAAAGTACTCACACACATAAATAATAAAAATTAAAAAAAGAAATATGAGAATTGTTATCAAGAGAAGCAGATTTCATGAATGGGAGAACTAAGCTACAGTGAAAAAGTAGTGGCCACATGGAAACTATCCTGGGAAAAAGACGGCAGTTGCTATGATGAATTTAAGTATAAATAAGATCATGATAGTTACTTTAAAATATACCAGAACTATTCCATCCAAGTACTCTTGAACGTCCACAAATATCAATCTCTCATTTCTCAGGCTATTTTACAGCTAAAAACATAAATGTGTTATCTACATCACATGTGGCTTAGTGCTAAAAAGTTTCACGGTCAACACAAAGTGGGCAATTCAAATCCAATAGCTGTTCCACAGGAGAAAGGTGGAAAATTTCCACTCATTTACAGCCTCTGAAAATCTGGAGAGTCAACTATGAATTGGTTTTGACTCGACCACTCCTAGCAACAACATGTACAGGTAAGTAATATATCTGATTATAAGTACACTAGGAGTCTCTAAGACTCAAAGAGTTAAACAAATATAAGTCACAGTTATAAGCCATTAGCTTTGCAATAAGCACACACCATTAGCTTTGTAAGGATATGCTTAATCTTCCAGATAGCAAGGATGAGAAAGCATTCTGCAGTCAGTTCCTTGTTTACTTTAGATGAATTCAGCTTCTATGGTTTTGCCACTTCCCAGCTGAGGAAGCAGCTAGGCTCTGCTGGCTGAGTCTGTGATCAGAAGGAACACACACCAGCACTGCTAGTTCAAGCATTTTCCTCCTCAGCTTTTGGTCTTGATGCCAGTTTCAGGGAAGGATTCCCCAGTGAGTAAGGAGCGAATCTCAAGAGGTCCACGTTTGTGCTGGAACCACTTGTGGGCTCCATCTAGGCAGGATGTTGCTCTGGCAGGTTTTGGCTTCCAGTGAGTCAGCCCTGACTCCTTTCACACAGAAAGGTGGTCCGGAGTCATCCCCTTGGTGGTTGCAGAACAGACTTCTGCAATCTCTGGCAGGTCTTTTTATTGGCAGATTATCACAGGTAAGTCAGCAGGTCTTTCCTCTTGCTCTTAGTCTGGAAACTCCTCTGAAATCTGTTCAGCATGATGTTATGTATCATCAAGTTGGAAATGACACACAGCTGACCACCCATTGGGTTTTTAGGGGCACTAAATCGCATGGGAGGAGATTGCCCATCCTTCTCCTGCAGTGGTAAATTCGAACCACGTGCCTCTTGGACTGTAGCACAGGTTCTTACCATGAGGCCACGAGAGATCCCTGTTCAGCATGATAGCATCACGCAAGACCCTACTGACAGATGGGCGGTGGCTGTCCATGGGAACAGAACCCAGTTCTTGAGCATGGAATTCTACCACCACCCCACTGCTGTCCCCCTCGAATCCAGAGAAGGCAGGAGGGGGAGGAACCAAATTGTGAGCCTTAGTTTTGTGCTCAGCACTGAACTGCACATTTGACTTCTGAATTTATTCAGTACTCACAGCTCACTCAAAGGAGGTTATTCTCGTTTCTTAGATGGAGACACTAAAAAACTCAGAGCAGTTGAGTAATTAGATCACTCGCTAAGACGTAAGTCTTATGACCTTATCACATAGAAAATCATCATATCATTATCAAGGACTGGACATACTTTGGAGATCAAGATTTTTTTTTCCTTGTTCTTTCATTGTGGAAAATTTCAAACAGATATAAAAAAAGAACAAATATAGTCTTACAGATTTTCATGCGCTCGCCACTCAACTTCCTCAATTATCAAACTTGTTTCATCCACCCTCCACCATGACTATGGGCCAGTCACTGGATTGCATTAATAGACATCAAGACATTTTCTCCAAACTATCTCTGAGTGTGTATCTTTCACATAGCTATAATTGCATTGTTTCTTGTTGGTTATCATCAAATCAACTCTGACTCATACTGACCCAATGAAATAGAGTAGAATTGTCCCCAGATGTTCCCAAGGCTGTAATCCTTATAGAAGCTGACTGCCATGCTCTTCACAAAGTTTGAACCACAGACCTTCACAATGACAACCGAGCACTTAACCCCCAAGCCATCAGTACTCCTCTCCTGATGTAGAGTTCAGAACCAAATCATAGCTGGCTCACTAGTGGATTTTCAGAGGCTGTAAATGACACAGGAGGACACTGCTGATC